AAAGTTAAAGGGGACAATCTCGTTAGAACAAAGACATTAGTTATTTTTAAGCCAACGTGAGAGATCATCTTTATGCGACCTTTAGCCTCTTCATAATAAACAATAAAAGTTATTGATGGGTGATAGGAGGCCTTTTTCTTCATAATAAAAAGGGCTTGGGGGCTTCCAATTCCAAAACCTATCAGACCCAATCAAGACTCACAGCTCCTCATGAGGGACTAGCCCACCAAACTGGCCCAGAGCTTCCCAAAGACACCGGCTTCTCCCGAAAGGGGCTGCCTCCCAAAATGAAGTCCTTGGAATCTCCTAACTGCGGGGTGCTCTGGCTAAAATAAAAAAAATGTTGCTCTGCTCTACTATCATCTCCAACCAAAACGTTAAATAAAACATCTCCAAACAAAACATTAAATAAAAAAATCATCACTAATAATATTAATTAAATCATCACTCATCACAATAGCACTAACACCTAGGGATTTCTCTACTAACTTTGAGAGAAAAGACATTTTTGTGTCTTCAACCATGCAAGAAGTTTCCGCTATTGCCTATGTAAAGAAAAGAAAAAGTCAAGAAAAAAGAAAAATCCAACATACAAGTTCTACACGTAGAGGATAACTTCTGAGAGAGAAGGCAATATTCATTTTTCTCCAACAATTCTGAATACAAGTAAAAAGTTTCACCAAATGAACTAAAAATAGGTCCTCAAATATTAAATTGGTCTATTCTATACATCTTTTATATTTTTTTGTTAAATCACATACAAATTAGTACATACTAGTTATGAGAGTCATTTTAGATTAATTGGCTATTTTTCAACCACTAACATGAGAGTTGGAGAGTCTCTTATCCAATTAAAAAAACTTGTTTTGCAGATTTTCGTTCACATTTCACGAAAGTTTGCTAATCACCGTTGGCATTATAAATCACGTGTCTTAAACTTGTTAATTAAGTTGATGGACGACTCTTAGTAGAATCGTCTATTTAATTTTTTTTTAAGATCATATTTGAGTTTTAACATAACTATGTTTTTATGGGAGAAAATGAAAAAAAAATGCATCTTGTGTGGTTCTAACTTTTAGTTATTTTATCTTTTCTTATATGGCTAAATATATTCATATTACTAGTAAGTAGTTACCAACTAGTTTAATTAATAATTTAGTGGTTTAATAACTTGATTACATCACTGTCTGTATTAGTTTCGACAGCATTAGAGTTTTTTATTCTTACGGCTCAACTGGAAATTTGAATTGAGATGATTGAAATATGAACGAATCTTCTCAAGTGTCATGCCACCTCTAAAATTTATTTCAGTTTTTTCAAGGAGATTTTGAAACCAAATATACGGTGAGTGACGACGAATTGCGAGATAGGCCGTAAATTTCAATTCTAGTCATCTCGTACTCAGACCTTAGCAAATTTTGGATCTCATTTGCTGGGTTGAATAGCCAGGATGATTCCACGTGGATTATTGGCCCACCATTGATTTATGGCCCATCTAATCATGGATCTGTATTTTCTTAACAAGTGGCCTTGATGGCATGCGTTTAAAATTACCTTTCAGTGCAAACCCTTCCCTTCTTAGATCAACTAAGAATATGTTATGTGCCCCACAATTTAATTGAAATATTAAGGGAAAAATATAAAAAGTTGGACGGAGGGGCTGATGCTGCAGGTTGAATATGCTAATTTGCAATTGTTCAGGATGAAATATGCCAATAACCTTTATTTTCGTCGAACTAGCGTCAGTATTTGACCAATCAACGGGATTTAACTAATATAAATGGAGAAGCAACCAAGTAACATATTTCTGAATTTATGGCTATAATAATATACTGGGGTACATTCTCTACAAATATAAGAAAACACTTCCTGACCGTACATTTACATTTTGTTCAGTCCATCTCTACGGTCAATGCATGAGTTATGACCGGATCAATAACTTTTTTTAATTATTATTTTTAAAATTAGTCGGTATCACGACCTAATTCATGCCAGGGGATCTGCTAAGTCTTGGTCGAGTCACTTTCATGTTTGAATTGAATAGGGAAACGATGAATACTCATTTTTTTCCATACCTAACTTTAAAAGTTGTAGTAAAATACGGGCATCTCTCACACGAACCTACATATACACTATACATATTCTTGAGCAATAATTACACTATAAATATATTAATTTTTATTTTTTAATCGAATATATGGATTTTAATATTTTTTTATTTAAGTAAACTAATTTTTTTAAGACTATTAATCAATTATTTCTGTTAATTTTTTCGTTAAGTAATGATGTATCGGTTATTCTTAGGATACCCAATTATAATTTTATCTTTTTTTTTAATCAAGTGGATGTATTTTAATTATTTTCTTTTGATTACACCAATTTTTAAAAAACTATTAATCAAAATTTGTTATCAATTTCTTTATTAATTGATTAATAACATTTTCGTTACCTCTTTAATATTAAATTATAATTTTGTCTTCTTTTTGTTAGAGGGAACTTTCCCTTCAAATGTTCACAAGTAATACATTTTTTTGATAAAAAATCTCAAGCTTGTGTTTTTTTTTAATAAAAATTTTCATTTCTAAAAATAATCGAGATTGGTTTAGAGTTTTATAACTAAAAAATAATTTTTTTAATTCTTTATCAAAATTTGAAATTTTAGAGTAATTTAGGGAAAAAAAAATCCCTCCAACAAAAAGAAGGCAAATTTATAATTTGATATTTTATAGGTGATTGATACTTCATCGGTTAACCGAGAAATTGATAAAAGTATTTGATTAATAATTTTAGAAAAATTGATATACTCAAAAAAAAAACATTCATTTATTCGATTAACAAAAAATGATAAACTTATAATTTGATATTTTGAACATAACAAATACATCATTACTTAAAGAAAATTTTGATATAATTATTTGATTGGTAATTTTGAAAAAATTATGTACACATACAAAAAAAATAATAATAAAGTTTGTATACTTGATGAAAAAAATAAGATAAAAGTCAGTGTACTTGTAGTGTAATTATCCCATATTCCTAAGGACAAATTTAGTGATGGCAGGGTGACGCGGCCACCTTCTCAAAGTTTGATAAGTTTCCAAAATTACCCATGTACTTATAAAATTGTTTAAAAACACTTCTACGAAATAGCCCTTCCAAAATCAAACTTATGTGATCGGTCCCCACTTCTCTATGTTCGGATTCGTACCTGAATATTTCTATTAGCTGAATTTATAAACAAATATAAACGGTGTAAGTTAAAAAAAAAAAAACCCAACTACTAATTATGCCTAACGGGCAATTGATTCAAATTTCAAACCCAACAAAAAAGAAAAAGAAAGAAGAGAAAAAGACAATAATGATAATAAAGAGAAAGAAGAGGAGGAAAACATAAGGGGAATCAATCTTTACCATGGTCACATGGGAAAGAAGGTAGAAAGTGGAAGAAAAGCCATTTGCATCACACAATTCATGAAGAAACAACATTATGATGGGAGAAGTGGGTTGTATTTTACTTATCATGATGATCCCCACGAAAAGCAGGCTGTACCAGTAAGTCACACCTCATCAGATCGCAAGACTTCTTACCTATGAAAATGTATTGCCTTAAGCCTTACTACTTTATATAATTAAATTCCACTACAAATTTGAGTAGAAATATAGTTTAAATTGATGTTTAAGAATACTGTTTTTATTTTATGGGTGTTTGGATTATGAAGGAAGGTGTCATTTACATGTATGAGACCGATAAATGCGATGTGTTATAGAATATGAACACAAGAATATGACAAAAAATTATACTCTAATCATGGCTTATTTTTTAAGGATCAAGAAAATCAAGTATGAGATGGGAGCATTATTGTGGGTTTGAAAAGCAGCCAACCACTAGAATTAAAAATTGTGGCATTATCATGATGTTTTCGTGACAATAGGCATTTAATTATTCATTTGGTATGACCTTCCCTCCTTTTCCTGCCAAAGTTTTTTTTTTTTTTCCCTCCACGAGAAATACAAGAATGGCAAATAAATATCATTTATGGGTGGGTATAAATGCCATTACCATCCCTGTTTATTAGCACTAGAAACAAATGAAATGATCCAATTAATTACACGAAATTCAATTGCAGAAAATAAATCAATAATGTAGTGACTTTCCAAAACAATTTTTTACATCTAACACAAATACAATTTGATTTCTGACTTTGGCACTGCGATTATGGTTCAAATCAAATGACCTTCTATAAACAAAATAATAGTACCAACATAAATAGTCCTTTCAAAAGCTTGTAAGATATAGTTATGATTATGAAATAGAAAGTCAAATTGATTTAAAATTTTGGATTCAAGAAATCATTTTGCAATTACAAACCATAAATATATTGAATAATAGATTATCGACGTAAATCATTGTAAAAACTTTATAAGCACTAACTTATTTTACCCTTAAAGAAATCACATTAAACCAACAATTGAAATTCTATTTATGTCCAAATCACACCCTACACTGAAAATGAAATTTATTGCCCCACCCTACCAAAAAGTAAAAAGAAAAAAGAAAAAAAGAAAAGAAAATTAACCCACGCGTTCTCGAAGATAAAATGGTTTGAAAAAAGTAGGAAATGGTCCCCTTAAACGACCATAATGACATTCTACCAAAAACAACAAAAACCCAAAAACCATCGAAATCACAGAACAATCCACGTCTGTGCCCGAGATCTCTCCACGTGTAAACGCTACCCCGCAAAAACCCCCCCAAAAAAAAAAAAAAAAAAAAAACCCCTTTCAAAGTTGGTAATGGAAAGACATGACAACCTCTCTCTGCCTTCAGTTTCACAGCAAAACAGACACATAGAGAGAAACAGAACGAGGCATGCAAACCTTAAAACATGTTTTATTTCTTTCCACTTCTGACCCTCCAAATTTTCTTAATTCACATGCAAGCTCCTCTCTTTCATTGCTCTCCACTTTCTTCTTTACTTCAGATATTTTGACTTTGTTTAATGGAGGGACCAGAAGCAGAAACAGGACGAACGGTCTCGGACGTGGAAGCAGTGTTGGATTTTCTACGCAAAAATGGGTTAAAGGACGCAGAGTTGGCTCTTAAAGAGGACATGATTGAGAGAAATACTGAATTGGGCTCCTTTGACTTTGAGAAGTTCTTGTTTGTCTTGCCACCGGTGAGAATTCCGGCGAGTGTCCGGGGACTGGAGGTGGAAGAAGTTGATGGAAGAGTTGAGCGGTTGAGATCGAGTTCTGGGTCGCCGTCCGACGATGAATTTGTTAGCTTGGGGTCTTCTACTAGTGTCAGTGGTGCGTACTCTTCAGGTACTCGTTGATTATTATATAGGATTTTTTTTTGTTGATTTTGATTAAATATTTATTCTTGATTGGTTGTTTTTTCTTTAATTATAAATTTCTTGATTGATCAAGGAATTATAGAAGATGAATAACAGCAAAAGAGATGATAATTTTGAGTCATATGTTTTATGTTATGCTGGCTAATGAATTTCAAAGGCTCTAGTTGAGTTTGTTGATCAATTATGTTGCGTATGATGAAGCATATACTCTTTGTTTTATCTTGTCATATATCTTGAAAATGTTAGGATTGAGAATTTATCGTCTTGTGAGTGTCATCTTTGCTCGAGAGTCATGCTGATCTTCTCTGAATTGGTGCGATTTCATTAGTTGTGCCAGAGGGAACACATGATGTTGATTGAAATTTTATTTTTGGTGGATGATACATGGTTTGCTGCAATGTGTAAGTTTGGAATATAGAATGTTGCTTTTTCAAATTGATATGCATTTGATTCTTTTCTTAGAGGATAATTGCTATTGAAGCTTCAAAATAGCCTGTAAAATTCCTACTAGTATATATTGTCAGCAACTAAATGTTTCTTTATTGAAAATTTCTATTTGATGATGACTTGATATAACGAAGTTGGCCTTCCTTTTTTTGTTCTGTCAAAATTTGGAAAAATTATTCATCTGGAATGGCAATCGTATTCAGCAAAAATGCTGAATCCACTTCTGATTAACTCGCGACTCTTCTTAATCATTTCTTTGAATACAGTTATTGTCTCACTCCATTAATAGTCCATCATCACTTCATTTGCAGAATATGAAAATCAGTATATTAGTCAAAACACTGATTCTGTTGCCATTAAACATTGTGAATCAAGTTTGAGAATATACTGCACGAAATAGCCATCCTTTGGTGTGTGCATTATATAGAAGCCTGCGTGCAGAATGGAATCCAGTTACTTAGTAAGCCACTGCACTATTACTGAAACCTTTTGTGTATTAGCAAAATTACAAAACTCTTTAAAATACTCGGAAGTGTCTCTGGTATCTTGCCATGATTATTCCATTATGCTTTGCGCTTGTAGGTGGGCTGCTGTTCTATATCAATTTTAGTTGCTGGGGAAATTAAGAATTTTGACCGCTTTTCATTTCTGCAGAGTTCTCAAATCCGTATGGACTTCATTCTGCATCTCAGGCTAATTCAGATACTTCATCTGATAGGCTGTCTCAGTTTGGCACTGCACGTGATTACCCTGATTTCGATATGCAGAATGACTTCTATTGGTATGATGAGAAAGAGGAGGGCTACTTCATGACTCCCTGCTTCAATGGGATGGACTACTTTGGTTGTCCTAGTGAGGATAAGTTTGTCATGACATCTGAGACAGGGAAGCAATTTGAAAATTCCAAGGGTTTGTATGATAAATCAGAAGGTGAAACAGAAGGAACAACTGATTACTTGGATAAGCAGTGTCTTTTCAAGGTGACATCTGTGAATAATAAAAACGAGGCTCAATCTATTGCTTATTACCATTTTGATAAAAGAAACCAGCTAGAAGGAGACATTGAGGGGGATGGTAATTCATCCCCCAATTGCAAAAGCTGTGCAGAAACAGGAGGGATTTATGGAAAGAATCATGTTGACTGTATCTACTCGAAATCCAAAGGAACTGATTTAGGTGACTTACAGTTAAAAGTCCGGGAAAGCCCAACTCATTACAATATAGCTCCTGTGCATATGGAAAACGAGAATGCTAACTACTATAGTAAGAAAGGTTTCAAAAGTGACTGGATTGAAGGGTTTAAAAGTACCTCTGACATCATAGAAGAGGGAATTGATGACTTTGAAGTTGGAGATGGTGGAGAAGTGAATGGAGAAGCCCACCAACTTGTGGCTGCTATAGGTGGAGAAGATGTTACTGCTGATGAGCTTTTGATGTACTGTAACCAGGAGGATGAATATGAAATATTCAATCTGCGAGTTATACACAGGAAAAACAGGTTCTTGGAGACAGTCGATTAACTAAACTTCTTATTGCATTGTGCTTCAAATTTTGGTATGGATGCCAAGTGACATAGTTTAAAATTGGGTTGGAGTTCACATGAAATAGGCAAATTACCTCTACTTTTTGTGTCAATGGCTCAATGCCTAGCCAGCTGGTTTTAAATAAATAAGTAGGATTTGATGTACGTAACTTAAAGAAAATACTTACCAGTTTCTCAATGCTAGCAACTTATCCACCCATCTTGATCAGAAGTCGCAGACTTGCCTCTCTAGAGAATTTGCCCTCCTGTGATTGTAGGTTGTGTAGTCATGGAGTTAATCCTGCTGTTAGTACTTTGTTTTCATGGGGATTTGATGCTTGTGCAATGCAGGTTATTTTATTGGAACACTGTACTCAGTTTTTTTATGCCATCTACAGGACTGGATTTGAGGAAAACAAGGATCTGCCCATTGTGCTAAATACTGTCATTGCAGGCAGATATTATGTCATGGAATACCTAGGTTCAGCTGCTTTCAGTAAGGTCATTCAGGCACATGATCTTTACACAGGAATAGACGTTTGCCTGAAGATCATTAAAAATGACAAAGATTTTTTCGATCAGAGTCTAGATGAAATTAAACTTCTGAAGATAGTGAACAAGCATGATCCGGCTGATGAACGTCACATTTTGCGCCTCTATGACTACTTTTATCACCAAGTATGTCTGGAAAAGATGGGTAGTTAAATTTTGCTCCAATAAATTGACATTGTTTCAATTAATTACTCTTTTTTATATAGATGCTATTTTGTGCCTGTTAAAAGAATTTTATGCCATCCTCTTACTGGTCGAATTCTTGAACCTCTGCGAACTTTTTGTAATTAATAAACCTTCACAGGAGCATCTCTTCATCGTTTGTGAACTCCTTAAGGCGAACTTGTATGAATTTCAGAAATTTAATCAAGAATCAGGTGGTGAAGCTTATTTCACTCTGAGCAGATTGCAGGTTAGTTAGTTTAAGCCTCAATTCATGTTGGCATTCCTTCTGATTCCTTGGTGTGACCTCTTTCCCTTTTCAGATCCACAGTTATTTCAGAAATTAGTATAATGTGTCTTATATATATATATATATATATATATATATATCATTAATTTTCTGTGAAATTAATTATGTATCTGCTTACGTAAAATAATTATTTTTTATTTATTCTTTTTTATATTCTAAAATTAATATTTTTAAAATAAAATATTCGAAATATATATCAGTAGTTTTGTTAGAAATTAAGTATGTATTTGCACACATAACACCAATTATTTGTCATTTATTCTTTTTTACGTTCTAAAATCAATATTTTAAAATAAAATAATTAAAATAATATTTTGAAAGAACCTTTCAATTATTCAAATACAACTTTTTATGTTAATATTATTGATTATTTTATTAATAAATATATATAAATCAAACGATTTTGTTAGTAAATAAATTTGATTTACATTAATTACGAGAAATAAAAGTTTTATCCGCATTATATCATACGAATCGTTGACTTTATGTGTGTATATGCATACATACATACATACAGTATGAAGCATTTATAATGGTGAGCCGTTGGCTGTTTGTCTCACAGGTCATAACCCGTCAATGTTTGGAGGCACTTGAATACTTGCATCACTTGGGAATTATTCACTGTGATTTAAAGCCCGAAAACATTCTTATAAAGAGTTATAGGAGATGTGAGATAAAGGTTATTGATCTCGGAAGCAGTTGCTTTAAGTCGGACAACTTATGCCTATATGTACAATCTCGCTCCTATAGAGCCCCTGAAGTTATTCTAGGTCTCCCTTATGACCAAAAGATTGACTTATGGTCTCTTGGCTGCATCTTGGCTGAGCTGTGTTCTGGGGAAGTATGTCAGCCTTTTTTTGTTTCATTCAGTAAAATTAAAGTGGATATTACTGCTAGTTATTCCTGCCTAGGGATGACTTGAGCATTGAATGATTATTTTTTCTGGTAACCTGTATTGTTTGCTCTGGGCTGTCAGGTGCTCTTTCCAAATGATGCGGTTGTAATGATCCTTGCACGCATGATCGGTATGCTGGGTCCTATAGATTCAGATATGTTGGTGACAGGACAGGAAACGCACAAATACTTTACAAAAGAATATGGTCTCTATCATTTAAATGAGGTTTGTCATAATTCTTTCAGTTCGAGAAATAGATGCCAACTAGCAGACTGCTGAACTCTTTCCCTTTATGCATTCAGAATATGTTTTTCAGGAGGGAGGGAAAGATTGCATCCTCATAAACGCTGCTTTCATCTGCTTGTGGTTATTCATTTTCAATTCATTGCTGTAGGCATATGATAAGTTAAGGGGGAAAGGGTGCTTTCTGAAAGTTCCAGACAGCAGTTACAAGAGATTTCAACTTAGGTTTCAATTTTGTTCTTTGTCTTGAGAAAGGACCAAGGAGATGTACTACTTCATTATCTATGCTTTTTAATGTTTAAAAAGGCCAGGCAGCACAGTACCCACTTGACAGCAAGATGTAAAATGACATGATTTAATACTTTAGTTAATTTCAACTGTCTACAAGGATGATGAAACATATTCCCAGTCATGTTTAGTATATGAGTGATTTCACCATCCCAATTTACTCATACCTGGCTTTCAATGTCCAGGAGACAAATCAAGTAGAATACCTTATTCCTGAGGAGTCCTCACTGGAGCATCATCTCCAAATTTCTGATGTTGGATTTGTTGATTTCGCTAGAAACTTGCTTGAGCTCAATCCCCTGAGGCGTCCAACTGCAAGGGAGGCACTGGAGCACCCATGGCTTTCACATTCATACTGAGTCCAATTCTTACAGAAGTTCTGGAGGAGTTCACACTTGCCACTGTATTTATGTCTCTTTCTTGTCTCTGGAATGCATACTTCCAGTATCAGTTTTGGTTTTCAGTATATGCAACTACATCGGATTTGCTATATACTGCACATACACCACATACTTTTTTGTTGAACACATTTATTTTGTACAGGAAGTTTTCTTGCTTTTTCTTTTCTTCCTTCACTTGGTGGTTCTTGTAAGTATCATTTTATTGGGAGCACAAGGAAAACATTGATTAGGATACTTCTTGTTAATGAGTCTGTAGTAACATGCCACATAAATCTACCATATTCCTCTAATAAATGGAGATTCTTGCTCTTCAAAGCTGTCCATGTTCAACTAATAAATTCATTCTCCTTCCTACTTTGGCATTCTGCTTAGTAGTGTATGCATCTCCATGTGACTGCTATCATTATCAATGATGCTTCAAACCATGGTTAAATTCCTGTGCCACGTGTGCATTTTACTTCTATCAGGAAGCTCCCGTTGGTGCTTTTGGAGTCGAATGGATGCTTTTCGAGGACTTTTGAATATATATATATATATATATATGCTTTTTCGAGTACTTTTGATTATATATATTCTTTTACTCCTTTTCGAGTACTTTTGCATAATTTTAATACGAATTTATCAAAACCACGTCTCAAAAATCAAATTTATCGTCTTTTATTCAGTTCAGTCGCATTTTCCGTACAAGCACGTACCTCTGCATTAACAAAACGCAACTAGTCCAATAAAATTGGTTAGCACAGGTGGGGCTGCATTAAAAGCAGAGGAAGGTGGCGGGCTGATTCCCTGCTTGTGGATTTAGAGCTACTGACAAACAAGCATGAAATTATTATTCGGGTACGAGATAGAAATGACGTGTGATGAACGTATCGTCCTAGATAAAACTAGGAAAAACCTAGACTTGATCGCTTGTCTTTTCCGGAAGGCATCAATACTTGTTAGTTCAAATCTGATCAAGGCGGCTATTTGGAGTTGAAGTCATAGGTGACTTGGTAGTATTAGTTAAAAATTTTGATTCGTAGGGATTACAAGATTTCGATCGTAAGCACTGCTACCTAAACAAAATTTGATCGATCATCAATTCTGGCCAGGAATTTGAATAACTTGATTAGCACGCCTTCGGACTATAAATTAGAATTATGGAAAACAAAACAAGAAAATATGTAGATTTACAAGTTCATCCATTTCTCGGAAATGAAGCACCCATGGGACAAGGTAACACTAAAATTTCATATTCATCCGCGAGAGAAAGATCAACTTCTTCATGGACCATTTCAAATTTTAAGGAAAAAAAGAACGGAACTTTCGTTCTTCGATTTGAAATCTTAAAAATTGACAAACCTCGACCAATGTAGATTTTCTTTTGCTGTTTGCACATTAAGAATAAATCCATTTTTCATAAGGCCATGAGTAATCATCAAAAAAAAAAAACTAAAAAAAAATCATTATTTACTATTTATTTTACTATTTTTAGTACTATTTATCTAGATTTAATCGATCATATTCATTTGCATTATTGTTTTTTACTATGTTGTGTCATAGTTTTTAAGGGTTTTTAAAGCATTTAATATGCAAGTTGCTAGCATTGCACATTGATCCTTTATTTTTTGACAAATGGGATGACACGTTGGTTTTATATATATATATATATATATTTTTTTTTTTTTTGTTTCAATTCTTATCTTTATTTCACTAACTTGGATTTTTTAACTATTTTTTTAACTTATTGATTTTTTTTGCAAAAATCATAGAAAACATAAATTAAATTAAACAATATAATAAAATAATATTTTAACATATGCAACACAAAAAATACAAAATTTAAAAAAAAAACGTATATGACTATAAACTGTTCAATTTATAAGAAATTATTTTTTTACAGAAAAATAATTGTTATTTCTGTTGTTATATCCATCGAACGTTTTTTTACTTTCTTTCTGTGCAGCATTCGGCCTTTTATATATATTAAATCTAGAAGTTCTGAATATTATTTTTTGTTTTGGAGTAAATTATAAATTAGTCTCGTTTTGAAAAACAAATTAATAATTTTTTATTTTAAAAAATTATTTAGTCATTTTTATTCATGTTTTTATTTTTTATTTTAAAATAGAATATTAAAAAAAATATTATGAAAAGATTGAAGAAAATAATATTAAATTAAATATAATCAATGTTAGTTAAATGATTAAACAATTAGTTTTTGAAACAAGAAAAGTTAATTAATTAGTTTTTTAAAACTGCCTTTTTAAAAAAAAAAAAAAAAGTGTACTAAAGGAATCCATGTATAAGATTCAAGAAAGCATTCTTAAATCCGAAATTTTCTATTAAGCATCGGAAACAAAGGATAATTCAGCTACCGCAGCTCCAGTGGTTCAATCAACAGACAAGAAGGAAAAAGAAAAGGGAAAACGGATTAGTAGTTGGTTTTGCGTAGGCGAGGGTTCACCAGATCTGGGCCTGATTTTAGGACCTGATCAGGAGCAGTAGCAGTGATAATTAAGACACAGGGGAAGGACAAAGGTGTTAATGAAAAGAAAAGAACCAAAGATTTGTCTTTTCTCATTTATATGGGCTGCTTCTGTTCAATGAAATAAAAGGGGAAAACCTCCCTCTTCTCTTTCCCTATCTCAATTCTCTCTCTCCGCTCTTAAATTACACGCTCTCTTCCTACGCGTGCATACCCATCTCACCAATTATCTTATCTAAATTCTAACAATATTTTATCATTTTCCACATCAACGTTATGCATCCTGCACCTATCCACTCCACGTAGATGTGTATGTCATGCTTGTCTTCTTCGTGGGCCCATTTATCGTACCCCTATTTGAACCTACATTTTCTTTCTTTTTCTCATGGCCAAGGGATGGGTTGGTGCATAAATAAACAGTTAAGCATACCTTAAATTCGGTCTTTTGTCCTTACGACATAGAAATAATTCATTATTACCATCAATTTGTTGACCAATAATAAACAAACTAATTTTCAAGTCAATTTTTTATAAATATAACGGATTTAAATCACATATATTAAAATATTAAATTATCTCTTTTGTTTCTGATTAATTTTATTTTTAATATAGAATGAAAATACCTAAATAAAAAAAAATTGATTCCTTATTACTCATATTCTATTAGATTTTTCTTTTCTTTTCTGTCTGATCCAAAATTTTCATAAATGTGGGCATAGCACATCACAAACGTATTATCATAAGTTATATTGAGTTGGAGTGGTGAACCTTTCTATTGCGGATTTGTTCTTGCCACACGTTATACCCAAACCAACAAGCCGTGCAGCTAGCTGTTTTTTTTTCTTTTCTTTTCTAAAAAACAAACTAACTCATTTTCTTGAAATGTATTGCATTAATTAATATCCAAAACTTCAAATGCAGATTTTTAAATTGTTTTTCAAATTTATTCTAAACATAACTAAAATCAATGTTGAATCAGTTACATGTTTACTGAAAGAATGACAAATTCAAAGTCTTCTTCGAACCATGGGACACGTTATTTACAATGGGTTATGATTCACAGCACACAAATTTTACTCCTCGGCAATAAACTAGTTTTTTGACCCACGTTGTACTATTGATTGGATAAAACATGTGAAATTATTTTTAAAAATTATTTTATTTTAATGATCCGTGCTATGTGGTAGTCCATAAAAATATATGAAATCAAAAATTTTTAAAAATAATTTTTAATATTTTAATCAAATTTTTATTTTTGCTTTTTTTTTTCATAATTATTCAACTTAAAAATGATTAATTCTTCTCTATCCTTAGACTCTTAAAAAAAAAAAAAAAGAATTCATGAGTGTTGAAAAAAAAAATTATCTATGGATTGTATATATAAAAACCTTACTATTTCATAAGATTGTGTGAAAATACAACAACATAATTTCATATATTTAATTTAAAAGAAATTAATTTAAAATATCTAAAAATAAATGTATAAATAATTAGTAAATGTTTAATGTTCAAATAGTGGCATAGTTGATTTGTATAAAAACTAATAATTCAATTATATATATACACACACACACACTGAGTGAGTTTAGAGTCTCCGATGTAAAAAAAAAGACTTAAAAAAAAATTCACTTGTAAGGAATATATTGAAGCAATTTAAAATTTATAGATTAAAATAAAAATTATTAAAAAATTAATTTTGAATTTTGATTGTATAAAGAATCAAATAAGAAACCTCAATTCCTTTTTTTTTCTTAAATAATTTTTTTTTTAAGCCATACATGACCAATCCCTCTGCGCATACCTCACAAGCATAGCAATCACTTTTTTTTTTCTTTTCGTATTTGACTTTTAATTATTAATTAACTATTTTGAAAATTATTAAAAAAACCGAGACGAGATGATCTCAAACACATTTTAATAAAAAAAATACATTCCAAAAAAATTATTTATAAATGTTGCTATAATTAAAAAAATCTAACGTATAATCATGTTCTAAATTATTTATCTAAACTATATCGATTTTTTTTTCAAATAATCATGTTCTAAATTTTACTCAAAAATCCAAAAATTAGGGATCAAAGTGTAATTTTTGCAAAACATTGCATACGAAAGATTTTCTTTTGGAATAATGAATAGTGTTGCACATCGGTTAATAGTATTCTGTGACTCAACGTATAAGAGCATCTCCAATGATACTCTCTACTTTTAGCTAGTATTTTTAATGTAAAAAGAGAGCACCATTAATTATATAAATTGAAGATCAACATTCTCTCTAATGCTACTCTTTACTTTAACTCTTTATTTTGACAAAAACCATAAAATCCAATGAGACTATTGGTGAAGAGGCGAAGTGACACGGGAAATAACAATTTTCATTAATGAAATATAAGATAAAAAGTCATTTGGACTCTCTAGTATTGGAGAGCCAAAGACACTCCGTATCTCAATTTTAAAGATAAAGATTGTGATAAAGAGAGCATTGGGGATGCTC